GTAGTGAGGTTGACCCAGGATCGGACATTGTTTCGTTCTGCTGTGCATGGTGTTGCTATGAGTTGGTTCTGACTCGATGGCACCTGACAACAACAACAACAACAATCTTTATTACATAATAAGGAGAAATTTTTCAAAAGAGGTGTGAGCTCAGTTGTGTCCTAATGAACACTGGAAGGTAACACTGTCCCAGAGTGGCACAAATGGTCTGCGCTCCACGACTCATCTTACAGTTGGTCAGCATTGGGTTTGGGTTTTTTTGATGGTGTGTGTGTGTGCGTGTGTGTCTATGGATTAATGCACTGGACTAGAAAGTCTGTTTGAACCACAAGAGTGAAGGTTCAAACTCACCAGCCACTCTTTAGAAACCCTATACAGGATCGCTATGGATCAGAACTGACTTGACAGTTAACAACAGTACAATAAACCAGCCAAACCAGGGTCTTGTGCTAATGCCGAATTAGTAATGTGAAATGGCTAAGTGACCTGATAAAGTCAGTTAGACACTTTGAGCCATTTCTTATCTGTAAAATGGGAAGAAAGGCTATATGAAAGGCATTCTGCCTTGCTTTTACATTAGCATGCTGTGATTCTCTTGGTACATTGGTTTTGTATTTCTTCTTTTGAATGTTTTCTATAAACATGTATTTTTTATATTTTCACGGATCTTGTTATTAAGACAATTATGATGCAGATATTTTTAGAGCCTAATTGTCTCATAAAGTAGTGTAGTAGTTACGACTCGGACTGCTAACCTCAAGGTCGGCAGTTCAAAACTACCAGCCGTTCTTCAGGAGAAAGATGAGGCTTTCTGCTCCCATAAAGATTTACAGCCTCAGAAACCCTGTGCAGGGTCACTATGAGTTGGAACTGACTCCACGGCACTTAACAACCACAACAATCATTTTGTAGATGAAAATAACGTTTCTAACTTACTTCCAAATCCTTTGGTGGAAATTATTTGTTGCTGCAGTTTTTCCATGTTTTAAAATTCAAGATGGACAGATAGATGAATATAAAGATGCATGTTTATATGTGCATGAAAATAGGAAAACATACATAAGACTACTGCTAAGTGGGTACTAGGGTGGCTGGGGGTAGAGCTGTGATATAGAGGAAGAGGAGAAATTGAGATACTTTAACCCTATGTCTTTTGATATTCGATGAATGGTTTGCAGTATGATGTGGTATTTGTATATGAAAACCCACTGCCATCAAAACTCATAGCAACCTTATAGACCAGAATAGAAGTGCTCCACAGGGTTTCTGACGCAGTAAGTCTGTAAGGAAACTGACAGGTAGGTCCCAGCCACCAGTCTTCCTATTAACAGCCCAATGCTGAAACCACTGCACCCCAAGGTTGAAGACAACACTTACACAAAGGGCTAGCCAGGGCAGTCACAGATGTAATGGGTACATGGCTACTTAGTGCACAGAATGGGTTGAACTAGAGACTGTCAGTACTTTAAAGACTGACTTTCTGGAGCAGCAA